GCATGACGAGATAGGTCACATACACCATTGTACTTCTAGGAGGCAGGACAAATTGTTCCACTTTCTGGCGCGAGATACATTGCTATGCCAATATTGCATCTAACAATTTTGAATATATAGTCCTTTGACCCAGAAATTGTATTTCTAGAAATGCTCGCATATAAGTATGTGGGAAAGAAGCCTTATTAAAATGCTGGTTGTAGGGCCAGAGAGCTAATGCAACGGGTAATGCTTGCCTTGGATGCTGCTCACTGGGTTTGATCCCAGTGCTGTGTGTGGTCCCCCAAGTACCACCAGCAGTTCTCTCTGAGCAGAGCCAAGAGTAAGCCATGAGCACAGCAGATATGGCCCAAAAATTAAAAAAAAAAATGTGTGGAGTAAACACAGGTAGCTGGCTTCTCTCTGCATTTGCCAGAAGCTAAGTCCATTTTCCTGCCTCCTGTAAGTTTCTGAGCCAGTCCTGGTGACATGCTGAGCACGTGGGGGAGCTGATGGGTCGGCTGTCCTGGGCACACACCCCTTCCGCCTGCTGCATGCAGAGAGCTCAGCTTGGCTCCAGGTCCAGTTCTAAAACTGAGTCAGGTGACCCAGCCCTGCGGGAGATATTTGTAGAAGGCACTTTTGGAAGTGTGGGATTTGTTCATGGGGAATTCAAGAGAGGAATCACCTAACTGCTTTAAAGATGCTAAAACCCCCAAATTCATTTTGATCAAGATTGGTGAGCCTGTGCTTTACCTTGCATAATGAAAATTAATGTTTAGTTTCCATGACATTAGCCTGACAGATTCCCATGATTTGTTCAAAATGAAATTCAGCTTTCTCATGAGTTAGTCACTCTGGGACTATAAGTATTTTCCAAGAAATCTGCAGTTACTGATATAGAGAAAGAAGAATTATCTCTTTACTCCCAGCTAGTAGTTTCTTGACAGGGATGTTTAATATTTATCAAACATTGATCAGATGCTCTTTCCCCTGCAGTTTAATTTGCATAGATAATGAAATTATTTACAGAAGCCAGCGATTGAGATAGATTCAGTGTTGTCCAGTAGGAACATTACATGAGCTACAAAATAAAAAATTCTCTAGTAGCCCTGTTTAAAAAAGAAAAGACAGACAGCAAAGTGAATGAGGCCCTGGTTCAATCCTTGGTACTCCCTCTCCCACCAAAAAATAGAAACTGATGTTAATTTTGCCGTTTTTGTTCAACCCAGGAAAAGGAATCATTTTTTGCATAGATTTAAAATCAAAATTAGTAATTTAACATCTTTTTCGGATCCTGGGTCTTTAAAATTCAGTGGGTACTCTTCAGACCTGTTGGATTTGGACCAGCCTCATTCCCAGCCCAGGAGAATTAGATATTACCCGTAGGCGCTGCTTCAGACTGTGTGGCCGCAGCTCAGGGCTCCCGAGGGCAGAGATACCAGCAGCATGTCCTCCTGCCCCAGCACCTACAGATGGGCCAGAGCAGGTGTCCAATAGGATATTTTTGACTCCCTGAATGAATGAGCATGAATAAATGTAAAGTCATCTTCTCGCGAAGTCCTTAGCCTTTGATTCATATTCATGAGTTTTGTCATAAAAATAGTTGGCAGTGTTTTTTTAGGAATTGTCGTCTTCTGATGTATAGCCACTTAGGCGAAATCCTCGAATACATTGCATTTCTTGCCATATTTTCCTCAAAGCATTTTGGTTTATTTGGGGGGAGCTTGTCTCCCAAGTGAGGCTCAGGAGTGCCAGGGCCACTCCTGATGATACTCAAGCCAGTGAGCTGGCAACTGGGTGTGAGGGTCGGAGGATGCAGTGCTGCTCAGGCCCTGTGGCTCCGGAGACCTCCAGGGCTCCCCCAGTGTTTAGGGACCTCCAGGGCCACATGTGGTGCTGCTGAGGAGGCTGTGTGGTACTGCGGGCATATGGTACATGTGTGCAGCCTCAGCCCTGCATGATACCATTTCTAAGATTATACTGAAGGGCTGGGGAGCTAGTACAGTGGGTGGGGCATTTGCCCTGCATGTTTTTGACCAGACTTTGATCACCTGCATCCCATAAGGCCCCCTGAATGATTCACTGCCAGGAATCATTCCTGAGCACCACTAGGTGTGCCCCCCTACCCCCTGAAGAAAAAAACAAAATTATTTTGACTGTGGCTAATGAAGCAAATGCTGTGATAGAGATTCCCAGAGCTCTCACCTATTGATCATTGTAACTTTGCTCAGTGTTTTGTGTTTGTTTGGGAGTACCAGAAGTCAAATATAGGGCCCCTCTTACACATAAGGCATGTGTTTTACCCCTATTTTTTCTTAACATTTTGTGTCTTGCCAGTTCTTAAAAGCAGAGACCATCGCATAATCCAACTCTCCTTCCTGAAATTGTCTCTCTTAAGTTTAACCATGATAATATCGAAGACCCAGGATAAAGTTCAGTGGTAGAGAATTTACTTTGCATGTTTGACGTCTTGGGTTTGAGGCCCAGCACTACAAAAAGAGTTAGCAGCCAGAGTGATCGTACATGGGATAAAGCACTTATCGTGCATGCAGCTGACCCAGGTTCAATCCCCAGCACCACATGAGCCGTGCTAGGGGTGATCCCTAAGCACAGAGCCAGGAATAAACCCCGAGCACAGCCTGGAGTCTCCTCAAAACAAAACCAAACAAAGCAAAACAAAACTTGAAATCCACCCAGAGTGGTACACTGCTTTGATTATCCTTGTCTACCCTGCCCAGAAGCCAAATTCAACGTTAATTCGTGTGCCTATTGTAGATCCCCAACTGTGTTAGGTGTTGTACAGGATATTCGTTATCTGTGATCGTTGCTTTTGAGAAGTTTAAAGTTCACTTAGAGAACAGAAGAAATACTGGGTTGGAGTTGGGACTCAGTGGTAGAATGCCTACCTTGCAGGTGTGAGGCCCCGGGTTTGATCCCTGGCATGGGTGGGGCAGGGGGTGTTGAGAGAAGTAGAGAAATCGAGTTATAAATGTGTCCAGTGTTTTCTGTACCCATTAGTCTTGGTAATAAAAGGATGAAGGCAGTTAGGGGTCTCTACCCTCAGGTATTGCACAGCCTCTGGAAGGATGCTTATATACATCACTAAGCAATTTAACTTCCTATATGTAAGAAATCTGTGAGCCACAGTAGCCGCAGCCCCCTGTCTAGATGAGAAAACTTACGTTCAGTGGGGGGTCGTTAGACCAAGCAGACGCCATTGGGCTACACTAGCATGCAACAGGGACGAATGGAGATATTACTGGCGCCCGCTCGAGCAAATCGATAAGTAACGGGATGTCAAGTGATCAAGTGGGGGTTCAGCAACTGGCTCAAGGAAGTAGCGAGAAAGAACATGGATCCAAACCTTGATAGTTCTAGGAGCCTTTGCCCTTTCTTCCACACCCACCCTCATGTGTTTGAGTTGAGAAATGGAGTTCACTGCTTGAGATAAATCCCAGCACATTGGCAGATCTTCTGACTTTACTTTGCCTCATGTTGCGCTCATGTTATTTCCATAATTGCAGTGCACCAATCTTACCACTTATTGTACATGAGCATCCTAATACAGTACTGAGTTGTGAGGGGCCTCATAGAGTAAAGATTGCATGGGTGAGACTGGAAGCCTTTGCTCAGATGGGCGTGAGGGGAGGGAGAGCAAACCGGTCAAAGGCGAGGGATTCTGCTTTCGCAGCAGAGCAAGACTGATGCAGGCTGGGCTGTGAGGGCAAAACTAGCCTTAGCCGGGAGGGCGACGGGGCTGGGTTCGAGCTGGAGACCAGTCCCGGGACTGACAGGTCAGGCTGAATTCAGAGAACATCATTGGTGTATTAGTGACTGGGCTGTTTCTTTTCTGTTTCTGGAAATGTTTTTTTTTTTTTCCCTTTTGGCTTTTTGGGTCATACCCCTAGCAATACTCAGGGGTTACTCCTGGCAGTGCTTAGGGGCGCCATATGGGATGCCGGGGATTGAACTTGGGTTGGCAAACTCCCTACCTGCTGTACTATTGCTCTGGTCTCAAAGTGGGTTTTTTATTTGGAAAAATAAAAGCATCAGGCCTATGTCACGTTGGTAATAAATACTTGTGTAAAAGTTGCTTGTTAGGCTCCCAGTTGTCTGGCAAATTAACATTACACTAGTATCTATTTCCAGCATAGGAAAGTAGACGTGTATTTAGAGGCTGAGAGCCAGAATCACTTCTTACCCCATCCTGATATATTTAAACATCTTTGGCTGTATTGCTATGAAAGGGTTTGTGGAGACTGGTATAAAAATGGCAAGGGCAGCAGACATAATATAATTTTTTAAATTAAAATAATCTTAGTGAAGTAATTCTAGTGAACTAGTTCATATAATTTAAACTTCAGAAAGCTTTTAAATATAAATTATAGAAATAGTTATTATCAGTGAAGTTCCTAATAGGATGAAAGATGCTCCAAGTATATTTATCTCAGACATAAACATAAGCATCTTTTTGTGGATAGCCATAGTGACTGACATGGCATCTAAATTATAAAGTTCACATCAAACTCTTTATAAGCCAGCTTTCTTTTTAAAGTGTATAGTGGAAAAATCAAAGGTTTTATGTATGTGCATTTAAAAATTTCTGACTCACATTTGCGATCATATTTATATAATATCCTAATATTTACAGTTAAACTGAGTTGGCCTTTGGGTCTGATTTATTTTTTTTCCTTTAAGGAAATGAACTATCCTTTAAGCTTTGGGATTATTAAATTCCTCCCCCTTTTCTTGAAAACTCCTAATTATCAGCCATTCCCCCACCCCCACCCCGAGTTTTATAATGTCATTTTGGTGCTCTTGGGGGGGCGGATCATCCTATAGATACAAACCCTGAAAACAGTCCTATGAAATAGGAGTGGAGACTAGCTCCTTAAAATGCTAAGTAGCACATGGGAAATCCTTAAAATAACCTCAGCACCTAAAAGCCTTGCCCCGGCCGCGCCCCTCCTCCGGCCGCAGAGCCGGCCCACCAAGACCCCGCTCTCCCCCTCCTGCAGGCCACCGACCCCCGCCGGCTCGGAGCGGGCACCGCTGCGTGGCCGACAGCACCAACCTCTACGTGTTCGGAGGCTACAACCCCGACTACGACGAGTCGGGCGGGCCGGACAACGAGGACTACCCGCTCTTCCGGGAGCTCTGGCGCTACCATTTCGCCACGGGAGTCTGGCACCAGATGGGCACCGACGGCTACATGCCCCGGGAGCTGGCGTCCATGTCACGTGAGTGCCGGCGAGGTCCGGGCGGGCGGATGATTGTGGGGCCGGCTTGCGTCGCCTGGTGGGGCTGGGGGCACCAGGCATGCGTGTTGCCTGTCGGGCATGGCATGTGTGCTGCCTGTCGTGGGCCAGCCGACCTTATGCAGCTCCCGACTGTAATAACTGACATAGGATGCAGCTATGTGCTTGGACCTATTTTTTCCCAGTGGCAATAATAATAGCCTAGGCCTGAGTTTTAATCTAGTTGTATACCATTTACCTGCCAGCTGATCTTTTAAAAATTATTATTGTTGTTGTTGTGGGGATTGGATGGGTTTTGAGCACACCCAGTGATGCTCAGGGCTTAGTCCCGGCTCTGTGCTCTGGGATCATGCTTGAGGGTACTTGGAGAACCAAATGCGAAGCCTGGGATTCACCCAGGGTCAGCTGTGTACAAGGCAGGTGTCTTATCCCCTGTGCTGTTTCTCCAGTCCTTGCTAGATGACCTTTAGTTTCAAGATCCTTTCCTATGAATTGAGATTAATATTGCAGAGTTTAGTATAGAGAATAACATATACACCAGGGAAAATGTAACAGAAGGCCATCGAAGGGGGTTTATAGTGACGCTGAGCAGAGCAGTGCGCACCTGGGATCCAGCCAGTCCTCACAACTTCCTTTGGATGCGGTGGGTAATACTCGGGGCTCTCTGCTCAGGAATCACTCCTGGGGGGGTGTGGGGGATCAGATGGGATACCAGAGATAGAACCTGGGTTGGCCGCATGCAAGGCAGGTTCCCTACCTGCTGTGCTATGGCTCCAGCCCCTTGGCAAGGTTCTTTCTATGCCTCTAGCCAGTATTGAACCAGTATTTCGCACCCTTTCTCTCACTGTGAACTTCTTTCTACTTTGTTTTCTTCCTCTAGGCTTCCTCTCCTACTGCTTGGCCCCCTAGTCTCCTGCCATGGTGTCCCCCATTGACTTTTACCTGTGACCCCCTTGGAATGTCCTGGAAGCCTTTATGGGGACCATAAGGCCCCTGGTTGAGAAAATAATGATTTTTATTTATTTATTTTGGTTTTGTGGCCACACCTGGCAGTGTTTGGGACTTATTTCTGGTTCTGTGCTCAGGGGTCACTTCTGACCATGCTTTGGGGACCATATGGGGTGCTGGGAACGAACTTTGAGTCAGCTGCATGCAAGGCAAGCACCTTCTCTTCCTTCTGTAATAGCATTCTAGCCCCAGAGAAATGCTGATTTTAAACTGTTTTCAATTTCTGGTTATCAGCTATAAAAATGGACAAGATAACGGTCCACCCTACCTCAGACAATTGTTGGAAAGATAAATTTAGAGACACTAATTTTTATAAGGCTCCATGAGAATTGAAGTGTAGTTCTTGCTGGCCGCAGAGCCCTGGCTGTTGATCGTTCACGCTCTGTTGAGTGAAACGCTGGAGAACGCCATTTATATCAGACGGTAGCACTCTTTGGCCATCAGAGAGCGATGGAGAGTACATGTAAGCATGTATGTGTGTGCACACTTGCACAGCAGTTGCAGAATACATAGGAAAGAATGCCAGAATTGCTAGCAGGGTATCAGGCTTGCATTTTATGTGGTGCGGATTAAGATGACAGAAGCTATAATTTGAAATGTGAAGATAATTCCCCTGGTAAAAAACGGAATGATTCTTTTATCCCTTCATCCCTCCTCTCAGTGGTTCTTTGCTGAGGCAAAGATGGTATTTCATTCTCTGCTTCCCTGTGCACTTGGGCGGTTGTAATGGGCGGGAGTGCTTGGTAGTTTGCGTCATTTAGCACTGCGTGCACAGTCTCTCCGGAGCTCCAGAGATGGGTCTTGGATACAAGCCCGGTACCAAGCAGTGAGCTCTGGCCTTTAGTCCCCGCCCTGGCCGTGGGTCCCTCCCCACGCAACTCTGTGGGAAGGAGGTGGCGGTGGCCAGAGCCGTCCTGAGTGCGTGAGTGCTGACGCGTTTCAGCCCTCAGCTCTTCGGGGTTACTGCAGGTAGCCAGTGCGTCAGTGGAACTTGTCTTCTCCCTCCCCAGTCGTGCTGCATGGAAACAACCTGTTAGTGTTTGGAGGCACCGGCATTCCCTTTGGTGAGAGCAACGGCAACGATGTCCATGTCTGTAACGTGAAGTATAAGCGATGGGCACTGCTCAGCTGCCGGGGGAAGAAGCCCAGCCGCATCTACGGACAGGTATCGGGGGCTGGCTATGTCCTCCATCCCATGGTCTTTCAAGTGAAAGGAAAGATCATTTTTCATCAGGGAGGGAGGGAGGAGCATTTGGGATACACCAGCTGACGCACAGGGATTACTCCTGGCTACACTCAGGAATCACTCCTGGCGGTACTTGTGGGGGCCATATGGGCTCCTGGGATCAAACTTGGGTTGTCACGTGCAAAGCAAGCACCTTTCTTACCCGCTGTTCTATCTCTCTTGCCCTGGAAAAAAAAATGTCTTACTGTGGGTTAATATTTTTATTTATTTTTTATTGAATCACCGTGAGTTCAGTTATAAAGCTTTCATGATTGAGTTTCCATCATACAATGATTGAACACCCATCCCTTCACCAGTGCACATTTTTCACCACCAATGTTCCTGGTATCCCTCCCGTCACCCCTACCCCATCCCACCCCTGGCCTCTGTGGCAGGCATATGGGTTAATATTTGTATTTGAGTTTTCAGTTCTAATGTAGAATTATAATTCCTAAATCTGATAGCTTGCCTTCTTTCCTTTTTTTTTTTTTTTTTTTGGTTGTTGTTTTGTTTCGGCCACAACAGGCTGGCTCAGGAAGCAACTCCTGGTTGACTGGGGGACCATATGTGATGCTGGGGATTGAATCAGGTCAGCCACATACAAGAAACGCTCCCTACCTAATGTGCCGTTGCTCTGTCCCCCCTTTTTGTTTTTGATCCAACTTAGTGACTTAACGCTGTCTGGAACTTTCTGTAAAGGCCACATCCCACTCTAGCCCCACTCCCACCCCCACTGTGTGGTCCCCTCATCTTTCGAGTATGATAATTCATTGACAACCTTTCCCATCTAGGTCCTAGAGTAGATGACCACTATACTTCATTAAGATACTTCTAATTAATTGGAGCCAAACTGAACTGTGTAGAGATTGTTTTTCCAGTGAGATTTCAGCACGTTAAACTTTAGGTTGGAAAAATTATATCCGAGTTTGCCAGGGACAGCCCACCATCCTTCGGAGGCCCTCAGGGCTGGTGGGCACTTTCTCTGCCAGCTGGCTTCTGGGCTGCATGTGGACCCCGCCAGGACACACCAGAGCTCTAAGGAGTGATCCTAACAATGCCTTCCCCCGCACCGAAGAGTCTGAGGGAATGTCAGGGTTTTAGGACTATCAACTCAAGACGCCTTACGTATGGGATTCTGGCATCTTCTGCCTGCGCCTTTTCCCTTTCAGACAGCTTAGGAAAAAAATGAGTTTTATTAGAAATTTTTGTGGTCTGTAAGTGTCTGACTGGCTGAAAGCCTTAGGGATCATTTGACCTCTCCTTTGCATTTCTAGGTATTGAAATTCTTTAGGAAGACTTACCTTTCTAAAATTAATCTTTGGGTTCTCTAACTCTGAAGTCCTCTAAGTGTCTGCTATTTTATTAACTAAAAAATATTCCTTAAATGGGGTGTGGGGTGTGGGGCGTGATGGGAGAGAAACTGGGGACACTGGTGCTAGGAAATGTACACTGGTGGAGGAATGGGTGTCGGAACACTGTATGACTGGAACCTATCATGAACAGCTTTAGTAAGGGTCTACCTCAGAGCCATTCAATTAAAAAAAAAAATTAAAGCACTGTCATCCCGTTGTTCATCGATTTGCTCGAGTGGGCCCAGTAATGTCTCCATTGTGACAATTGTTACTGTGTTTGGCATATCGAATACGTCACAGGTAGCTTGCAAGGCTTTGCCGTGCAGGCGAGATATTCTCGGTAGCTTGCCCAGGCTCTCCGAGAGGGGCGGAGGAATCGAACTCAGGTCGGCCATGTTGGCCGCGTGCAAGGCAAATGCACTACCTGCTGTGCTATCGCTCCAGCCCAAATCGCCGAGTGATCTAAGGCACCAGACTCAAAAAAAAAAAAAAATTAATTCCTTTTAAAAAAAAAAGTCCCTTCTCTTTTCTTTGTTACTGCTCTGGTGCTGGGCGGAGGCTGCACCGAGTGTGCTGGCAGAATTGCCGGGGTCAGGCTCTTGGACTCAGGCCTGGCAGGCAGCCGCTCTGCCTCTGAGCCATATCCCCAGGCTCCAGGGTCTGATGTGTTAGAAAGTTAAAAAGTACAAGAAAGCTTTAGGAAACCTGACTTCTGGGGTCTCTGGCAACCTGCAGTCAAGTGTTAAGAAATCTGTCGTTTCCCCCTCTTGTTTCTAGGCCATGGCGATCATCAATGGCTCCCTTTATGTTTTTGGGGGCACAACTGGCTACATTTACAGCACAGACCTGCACAAACTGGACCTCAATACCAGAGAGTGGACACAACTGAAACCAAACAACCTGTCCTGTGATCTCCCGGAAGAGAGGTGATGATCGAGGGTTCAAGGAAAGCATGTTTGAGGGCTGAGAGATATGACAGCAGGCAGGGCACTTGCCTTTCACGTGGCTGAGCGTGTTCTATCCCTGGAATCCCATATGGTCCCCAGAACCCCACCAGGAGACATCCCTGAGCACAGAGCCAGGGATCTGAGCACAGCTGGTGTGGCCAAAAAAAAAAAAAAATCAGATCAAACCAAATAAAGCAGATGTATTATTTCTTGCTAGATTTTACTTTTTCACTTTTTTCCCCCCAGAATGTTGATAATATGGTTTGGAGAAAAAAAAACAACCCTTTGGTCTGAGTAAAGTAATTAACTGGCTATTACGTTCAGTTTCAGGTCAATGTTAAGGAAGGGTATTGTGGTGAGGGAATGATGTATCTCTCTGAACCATCGAATTTTTTTCATGCTGTTTCCTCCTAAGATGACAGCAACACTGTAGAAGAAACCAATGGTAGCAATTATAACTAATTTTTATATTGTAAATAAGGGTAATTTCTTTCTTGGTTTTCATTTCCCTTCTTAAATTGCACGTTAGAATCCTTTTGCTTCTTTGCTCACAGCTGTACTCTGTCAAACAACACTGTCCTCCCATTGTTCATCAATTTGCTCGAGCAGGCCCGGTAACATCTCCATTTTGAAACTTGTTGTTACTGTGTTTGGCATATTGGGCGAGATACTCTCGGTAGCTTGCCAGGCTCTCCGAGAGGGGCGGAGGGATCGAACCCGGCTCTGCCGGGCTGTCTGTGCAAACGCCCTACCACGGTGCTATCAGCTGTGATAACCGCCAGTTTTTGTAGTATAGTGGTTATCACAGTTGTACACAGGGTACAAATACCATTCCCTTAAGTGGTACTTAATGAGGGTTGATTGGCTAGACAGAAGCAAAGAGGGAAGGAACTGAGGGAGGGTTGAATGAGAGAAGGAAGGGGCCAGAGAGAAAGTACAGGGACTAAGGTACTTGCTTTGCTTGTGGCTGACACTGCTTCAAATCCCTGGTATCACATATGGTCCCATTTCATAGAAAGGAAAAGGGGAAAAAAAAACAACTTAAAAAGAGACAAGGGGGGACTGGAGTGATAGCTCAGTGGGGAGCTATCATCTTGTGGACCCAGGTTTGATCCCCTGCATCCCAAATGGTCCCCTGAGCACCACCAGAATTAATTTCTGAGTGCAGAACTAGGAGTAACCCATAAGCGTTGCTGAGTGTGACTCAAAAAGATAAAAATTAAATAATTAAATGAAAGGAGGAAGGGGGTCAGGTTCAGAAAGAAAAGAAGTTCTGAATGATGGGATAAGGGCAGAGAAGACAGGAAAGAAATGAAAATATGTTCTGCTTCTCTGACTAGATTGTAGCCTCTTTGAGGGAAGTAATAAAACTTTTTTAAAAAAAGAGAGAGAGGGAAGGAAGGAAGTGAAGGAGGAAAGAAGGAGAAAAGGAGGGAACGAGTGGGACATTTGTTTTATGTACTCTGTTGGCTCTCTCCAAAGAGCCAGTGATCCTGAGTTGCTGCTAGCGAACCTAGGTCTTCCACTTGCCTCATCATGCAGTTACACTCTCTAGAAAAACTTAAAAAGATTTTCTTACTTTGGTACATCTACACAATGGAATACTATGTAGCTGTTAGGAAAGATGAAATCATGAAATTTGCTTATAAGTGGGTGGACATGGAGAGTATCATGTTAAGTGAAATGAGTCAGAAAGAGAGGGACAAGACATAGAATGACTGCATTCATTTGTGAAATATAAAATAACACAATATGAGACGGACACCTGAGGACAGTAGAGACAAGGACCAGGAAGATTGCTCCACAGTTGGAAGCCTGCCTCGTGCATGAGCTGTGGGAGAAGGCAACCGGGATAAAGAAGAGATCACTAAATCAATGATCTCTTGATTGATCGTTCGGAGGGATCGTTTGGGATGGGAGATGTGTGCTGAAAGTAGATAAAGGACCAAACGTGATGACCTCTCAGTATCTGTATTGCAAACCATAATACCCTAAAGTAGAGAGAAAGAGGGAAATTGTCTGCCATAGAGGCGGGGGGAGGGGTGGGACGGAGGTGGGGGGAGGGGTGCTGGGGATATTGGTGGTGGAAAATGTGCACTGGTGAGGGATGGGTGTTTGATCATTGTATGACTGAAACATGAAAGCTTTGTAACTGTAGCTCACAAAGATTCAATTAAAAAAAAAGATTTTCTTACCCAGATTTATTTATTTATGTTTGTTTTGGGGCTACACCTGGCGATCCTCAGGGATTACTCCTGGCTCTGCACTCAGGAATCACTCCTGGCACTAATGGGGGACCATGTGGGATGCTAGGGTTTGGAGCCAGGATGACCAAGTGCCAGGCAAAACCCCTGCCCACTGTACTGTCACCTTAGGCCCTCCAGTTTTAAAAGCAAAGATGGCAAAAGGGTGTTTAGGCTAATCCAACATCTCTTTGTGGCCTTAAACAAAATGGTGTGGTTGCCAGGGAGGACTTTCTCTGTGCCATGCCGTGTTGGTGGGCTGGTCACTGCAGAGCTGCCGTGAGAGGGCTTGGCTGACGGACGGTTGCCGGAATAATTTTGATGTAATTTATTTTATCAGCACCAGGGCCTTCAGGGAAGGGAGAAAATAGATTAAGTTTTCAAAGCATTTTCACATGGTTGCCTTTAAATCATTTTATGGACATATTATAAATTGTTTCAGCTTCTAGGTAGACTGTTTGGATGAAAGTTCTGGTAGGTGTTTCACATTACATCCACAGTTCTCTGTAGCATAACTTTCTAATATCTTTGTATATCTTAAATATCTTAATTTGAAAGCCCATAGTGTACGGTTTCTAATTAAACATAGGAAAATCACTTTTTTTTAAAAAACTCTTGTAATAAATTCCTCTCTTATACAAAGTCATCACTCATACCATAAAAAAGGGTTGGAGAAAAATCTTGAAAATGTAAACAAAAGCTAAACTTGGAAATAACGAGTTAATAGTTTGAATGTATCTTTCCAATCATTTCCTGTGTGTGTGTGTGTGTGTATGTGTGTGTGTAGGATGGCTCATAGCCTAGCTGGTGTTACACAATTTCCCTCCCCCCCCCATTGATGATAAGAAAATTTGTTCTTATTATAGTAATCATCCTCCATGCCTGCATTCTTACTGGTTGCCTAGTAATGCCTATCATGTGCCATGTATAATTTTGAACTAATAGTGATAATGGTGCGATTAGAAGCCCGGGACCCAGTCTTAAGTAGGTTGTTTTCACTACTTATAAATGGATTCTGTTGTTTCTTCTCAGGTACAGACATGAAATCGCACATGATGGGCAGAGGATTTACATCTTAGGAGGCGGTACTTCCTGGACAGCTTATTCCTTAAACAAGGTATATGTAAAAAGAGAGAGAGGGAGGAATAGACAGAGGCCTTGGTCAGGCACAGGCTAGCAAGTCAATTCTGTTACTACAGGTATTTATTCTTAAGCAGGTTCTTGACCAACACTTATTTTGTATGAGACATTTTTGTTTGTTTTTGGTCTCTGGGCCACACCTGGCAGTGTCAGGGCATGCTCCTGGCTCTGTGCTCAGAGATCACCCCTGGTGGGGCAAGAGTGACCATATATGGTGCTGTGGACTGAACCTGGGTCGGATCGACAGTGCCAGGCAAGCATCGTCTCGCTGTCCTGTTGCCCCTGCATGAGTACTCTATAAAGTAAGACCAAACTCTGCACATTCCAGGTGGTGGTGGGCTTATTAACACTGAATGTTCTTCGTGAAAGTGGTCTCTGGGTCACTGGGGAGATGACGCAGAGGGCAGGAGCACCCGCCCAGGGTTCTATCTCCGGCACCGTGGGGCCTCCTTCCCAGTGCTGGGTGCAGTTCTGGTGGCCCATAGCTTCACTGTGAGGTTCCCCCAAAGAGACAGAAACAATGGAAATTATCTCCAGTGTCAGCTGGCAGAGGAAAAGGATCGGAAGGAAGATAGAGTCGCCTGAATGGAGAGTCTAGTTAATCAGGGCCAGGGCTCCCAGACTGTCTGTCTGTCCGTCCCATCCTGCTGCCCGCGGTCTCTCTGCGGTGCGGTGTGCAGAGCCAGGCAGGCCTTTGCTCCTCCCTCTTCACGTCTTCCCAGCCCCACTTCCTCCCCCGCCTTGGGATCAGGTGCCCAGGCTCTGGCTGCTCCGGGCCCTCGCTGGCCTTTCTCCAGCTTTGTCAGCCCTGCATTTTTGTTCTCACCAGTGTTTGCTTTTCTCTGGAATCTATAAAGTGACATCATGGAAAATAGAGTAGCTGCAGGAGTTCTAACATTTTTGCTTTTTAAAATTTTTTTTTGGAGGGGGCATACCTAAAGCGATGCTCAGGGCTTACTCCTGGCTCTGTGCTTAGGGATCACTTGTGGTGGTGCTCTGGGAACCAGATATGCTGGGGGGTGGGGTGGGAATTGAACCCAAGTCAGCTGTGTACAGGGCAGCTACCTGCTGTGCTACTGTTTCAGCTTCTTGTGCTACATCTTTTCCCCTGTGATTTATGAAAGTCGATGCCATAGGAATGAGGCTGTGACTCAGGCAGAGAATCTGCCTCGTATGTGTGAGGCCCCGGGTTCATCCCAGCATATGCCATTCCCACCAGTTCCACACTTACCAAAAAAAAAAAAATTTGAAATTAGATAATGTGGGTCCTTTTTTTTTGGATGGGGCACTTAAAGGTGCTTAAGGGATTACCCCCCACCCCAATCCATGCTCACGGCTTGCTTCAGGTAGTGCTTGGGGCGGGGGGGGATGTGCAGTACAGAGGATCCAATATGGTCAGCTCATCGATCTGTCTCTCCAGCCCATGTTTAATTTTCAACTGCTTCACTTCATATTTAACTGGTATTAGAACCATGAAAGATCAGAGAAAAGCAAAGAAAGACTTATTTTTTGGCTGTTTGGGGCACACCTGGCAATACTAGGGGTTACTCCTGGCTCTTCACTCAGGAATCACTCCCGGCAGTGCTCAGGGGACCATATGGGATGCCGGAATTAAACTCAGGTTGGCCACATGGAAGGCAGACACCTTCCCTGCTTTACTATCACTCCAGCCCCCAAAGAAAGACTTTTCAACCAAGAATGTATGTTGTTAAAATTGAGTTTTCAGGATAACAGATTATTTGTGACTATCTTCTTTTCTTTTCTCTCTCTCTTCCTTTTGCCCTCTCTCCCTTTCTCCTTCTCTCTCTCTCTAACTCTCTGCCTCTCTTTCTCTCTCAAGATCCACGCTTACAACCTTGAAACAAATGCATGGGAGGAAATTGCAACAAAACCTCATGAAAAAATAGGTAAAATTGAAATATTGTCTCTTTTTTTTTTTTTGCGCTGGGAGTGGGTGATACTGGGTGGTTGGGCCACACCCAATACTCGGGAATTACTCCTGGTGGTGCTGGGGGGGAGGGAGGGCATATGGGGTTGCTGGGGATTGAACCTGAATTAGCCACTGCAAGGCAAGCAACTACCCACTATACTGTCACTCCCTCCCCAAGTCTCTTTTAATTTTAACAAAAGTATTTTATACGTTCAGTTGTAGTAGAGGAAGAAAGTAAGTCCTAAACTAGTCTGAGATTGAATTTATATTCCTCAGACCCCCACTCCTCTTCCTCAGCACTGAGCAAGAGACTTCTAGGAAGTTGTTAAATTCTTTGCATGTGGGTGAATGTGGGTGGGATACAAATCGGCACTTAAATCAAGAACTCCCTGTCTCTGTGGGTCCGAGGGCTGGGGAAGCCAGTAGTAACCCTTTCCTAAGACTCCGAGCACCTACCTTACCACACGATGCCATCACGAGACTGATGATGACATTATTTTTATGGGAGCTGGGAATGGATGAAAAGGACTAGACAGTGTTTGCTTAATGCGACAGAGGGATTATTCTTGAGTAGGTTGCTTGCTTGTAGTGGCCTTTTGCTCTGCCCTTGTCTGCGTTATGCCAAGTCTTTCTGTGACTAATGGAATTCCTATGTTTTTGCGTCTGGCAGGTTTTCCTGCAGCCCGAAGATGTCACAGTTGTGTTCAAATAAAAAATGGTAAGCCTTCTAAGTAACATTCTGCTTTCAGGTTTGGAGTTGTATATATGCTGAGAATATCTTCTTCTTTATTTTTTGTTCGTTTTGAGTCCACACCCAGCAGTACTCAAAGCTTAGTCTTGGCACTGTGATCAGGGGTCAGTGCTGGTGGTGCTTGGGGAATCCTAAGTGGTGTCGGGGATTGAATTTAGATTATTGCATGCAAAAGCAAATGTGAATATCCCATATATATTAATGATAACCCCTTAAAAGAGGTATAATTGGGCCAAGAAGATAGCTCACAGGGGTATTTTGCATGTGAGAACCCACATTCATTCCCCAGCACCACATGGTCCCCTGAGCACTATGGGGAGTGATCTCCTAGCACCAAGCCCGGAGTAGCCCCTGAGCACTGCTGGAAATCTCAGAGAGAGAGAGAGAGAAAGGAGAGAGAGAGGAGAGAAAGGAGAGAGGAGAGAGAGAGAGAGAGAGAGAGAGAGAGAGAGAGAGAGAGAGAGAGCGCGCAGGGCCTGGGGCACCCCTGGTGGGGGGGGCAGCTCCTGGACCGGGAGTGACCACCACTGGGGCCCTTTGCCTCTGTGTGACCCTGGCTCGCTCTTCTTCCTAGACGTGTTCATTTGCGGGGGCTACAATGGGGAAGTGATCCTGGGAGACATCTGGAAGCTGAACCTGCAGACTTTCCAGTGGGTCAAGCTCCCGGCTACCATGCCAGAGCCCGTCTATTTCCACTGCGCAGCGGTCACGCCGGTAAGTTGGGATTGTCCGGTCTTCCTTAACACAGCCGCAGGTGGCATGGGTTCTTCGCAGAGACGCTAGCAAGGAGAAACATTTCCTGGTAGGACACTCCCTTGGGCTGAGACTGTGCTTGTAAAAACCTCCTTCCAGGGGCCAGAGTGATAGTACAGCAGGGAGGGTCTTGTTTGCCTTGCATGCAGCTGACCCGGGTTCAATCCCTAGCATCCATATGGTTCCCCCAAGCACCTCCAGGAGTAATTCCTGAGTGCAGAGCCGGAAGTAACCTCTGAGCACCACTGGGTATGACCCCAAAAACAAAAAAACAAACAAACAAAAAAAACCTCCTTTCAGAGCTTGGCCATTTTTCTGAGAAAAGCGGAGCCCAAACATAGCCGGAGATTTGGTCTGGGGCACAGCACTGGCCTGGCATGTGTAATAGGGGTGGGGTTCGGGTCGCAGCCCTGCCAGGTCTCCCAGTGACCCCTGTGCACCAGGCTAGTGTAACTCCTGAGCACAACTGAGAGTGGTCCCAGAACCAGCCAGCCAGGCAGTAAACTGTGACAGAAAGGCCACCGTTCAGGCCTGATGGTGAGGTCAGAGGTTTCACCCAGGAGAGCAGGAGAGTCTCCTCCCCTCTGTGTTGTTAGAGAGCTGTGATCGCTTCTCAGCCTTTGGCTCAGATCAAGTGCAGCATCTGTCCTTAACAGTTTAAAAACCCCACTCATTCCTTGACGGCGAAGACCTTTATCTTTGCCTCTGTTTGCTCAGTATTTGACACTCTGCGTACTTTAATTCTTGTTGTAGTTGTTAAAATACAAAAAAAAAAGGTGTGTGGGGAGGGAGGGGACAAGAATTTTCCCTCTTAAAAGTCACTCATGGGGCAAGAGCGATAGTATAGTGGGTAGGGTGTTTGCCTTGCACAAGGCCGACCCGGGTTCAATCCCCAGCATTCCCTGAGCATCGCCAGGAATAATTCCTGAGTGCAGAGCCAGGAGTAACCCCTGTGTATTGCCAGGTGTGATGTTTTTTAAAAAAGCGATAAACGAACATACAGGTAAATAAGTAAAAACCATCGTTTAACTCTTCTTGCTCCCTTTGGTTTCTCTGGACTAGACTGGGCTTGGTGAGGTGCTGTTCCACCATATCTCAGCTCGGCCCGCACTGCTGTTCACTTGGGGGTAGAGGCATCAGTCTGCATGTGTTTGTCCCTGGCTTTTGAATCTGTCCTCTCTGCTTGCCATTTGCTCCTAGGCTGGGTGTATGTATATTCACGGAGGAGTGGTCAACATCCACGAGAACAAACGGACTGGGTCACTGTTTAAGATCTGGCTGGTGGTACCGAGCCTGCTGGAACTGGCCTGGGAGAAGCTGCTCGCGGCCTTCCCCAACCTAGCAAACCTCTCCCGAACACAGCTTCTGCACCTGGGACTCACACAGGGACTCATCGAGCGCTTGAAATGAAGATTTCTGGACTGTTCATTGATACTGGAAATGTTAATTTAAAGAGACTCCTTTATTTATGGGCAGTGTAGAATGTGCTACAGAGGATTGGTTACCCTGATCAAGGCCTTACTCAGAAAATACATCAGATGCCTTTCTGTAAGTTGGTTTTCAGTTTATGGAAATCTCATTTTCCCTCGTGCTTACTTTGCTTCTCTTCTTTTTTGCCCACCGCCCACCCCCACCACACACTCACACGCACACACTCACATCCTTCCTCTACCAAATGGAGTTGGGGGTGAAGTCTGAAATCACCTTAATGATGTTTTGAATCAGGATAAGATTTTTTTAAAAAACATTTTTTTTAAGGAATTCTGAACATAGGACCATGTCAGCCAATCCTTGACTGTTCTAAGCAACATCACCAATAGAATCAAAAATGAAATCAATGGAAACCCAGAAATTTGGGGGCTAGAACAAGAAGGCCAACCTTGAGAACCTTTCAGGTCGTCTGTAGCGCCTCGGTGAATAAAGCTGTGTCTTCAGAAAGACATGGGCAGGAGGCTGGGTCTCCTGGCAGAAGTGGGTGACACCTGTCTGGCCTCGTGGTGACCCCCAAACCCACGCTCTGGCTTCGGTGGAGAGCGAAGCATCGAGCAGCTCTTGGATCGAGACGGTCTCCTGTCCTCATGGTGCCAGCTGGGGTTAGAGTGGGCGTGTGGGTGGCGGATGCCCTTGTGTGTTGTGGTTGTGCTATTTCTTGTTGCTCTTAGAAATCGTCGTGCGCCAAGGACACTTCAGACATTTCTGGTGGTTGCAGATATTTCATCCTGGGCAGTTTCGAAACGCGCTTCTGCGTCTCAGCGGTCTCAAGCATCTCTGATCTCTTCACAGGGAACTGTCGATCCCTGAAATATGTAGCATCGTGCCCGGGGACAGAGGCCTTTTCTCGTGCACGGCCGTTTGTCTCCGATCTTGTTTCTTTCCTAGGGCCGCGCACCCGCCCTCTTCTCAGGCTACTGGTCTTGTCCCTCGAGCGCTAACGGGGCCCTGCTTCTGTTCGCCCATCGCCTCCTCTCCTGCCTGCTCTCCCGTGCATGGTGCTGCCACTGGGAATCGGATGAAGGGTCTGGGGGTTGGGGGGAGGGGCGGGGGCCCACAGCCATCCTTGCTGAAGAACTCAGTCTCGTTTTCAAACCTCGCACGAGGGAGGAGCAGGGCCACCTATCATTTTGGTGTAACATTTCAGCCCTGCTTGGGTTTGGTTCTGAATTCTAAGAGAGGTGACAGACCTTGCCCCTTGCTTCACACCTGGAGATCCCGCCCAGAGAGTGGGGACCTGTATTTCCTTTAAGTGCCTGTTTTCACTTCGCTTTTGTTCTTTCTTCCCCCCCCCCCCAAACCCCCACCCCCCAACCCCACTACCACTTCATCCCAGAAAGGGATTTTAGATCCTCCTTGCAACTAGAAAGTTAGCACCTGGTGTTCAGTTCTAGAAAAGAAAAAAAGGGCCTTGAGGTTCAGACACCCAGTGGGCCTTAGTACGGCACCTCTTCCGCAGGGTTGCGTCAGTGCATTCTGAAGAGCCCCTGTGTGTCCTGGGGGCGTGAGGGTAGCCACAGACCCAGGGCCCCAGCCCTCCCTCTTGCCATAGCAAGTCTGCTGGGCCTTGCGCCTCTGGCCACCCACCGGGCGCACGGATGCACGTCCTGGGTTCAAAAGAGAAATCTGCCGCATGGCTCCAGGTCGTGGGGGGAGATCTGTCCGGGATGGACCGGGTCCTGCTGTCCGGGGTGGGGTAAGGCCTTCTGTCATGGAGTCACACAGGGACCAAAGACTGAATGCCCCGGTCGTCCTTCTCCTTCCCTGGGCCTGAGGAGCTGCCATGGTGCTGGGGAGGGGGCAAGTGGTGGAGGGACCGCCCCCACTTGCTCGTACCCTTTTTTAAGCGCACTCCCAGGGCAGTCTTCTTTGAGGTCGACTTGGGCCTTCTGACACCCAAGGCCTTGTGCGAGTTTTCACCCCAGCACGCGTTCTCGGTCCAAAGTGTCTCTAACGCTCGTGAGCGTGCGGCCGGCTGCTCCTCGGAGTGCCACACGCTCATAACTTGTTTTGGATGCCAAATGAAACTCGGTGTGTGATGGGGAGGCGGGGCGACTAGAATTTCCGGTGCCAGGTTGCCAGGCATCTTAGCAGACCGTTAGCCAGCGCTCCAGATTCTTTACCCTCTCTTGACTTGGGCAAGTTCATACCTGCTGCTCTGTGCCTCAAGGAGGCACTCCTAGCCGCGTCCCGCCGTCCCGTAACTGAAGTGCAATATTATTGAAACACGTAGAGATATATACAGATTATATGTAGGCTGTGACGATAAAGCAGGTAGACGCCTTTCTGTCTGTCGTGGGGAAAGACGATAATAACCGCATTTTACGCCACAGTCGGCTGCTGTAAGCCCTCTCGGTCCACTGGGATGTACACGTTCATGTCCTCTTAACTCCCTTTCCTAGAGGCTCGGTGTCCCTTGGGTTTGTCAGACTTGAGACTTTTTTCCCCAGGCATCTCTCAACTCTTTCCTGTTTGCATCTCTTCCTACATTTCCTTGCTCAGAAAAAAATAAGGGAAGTTTACCTAGAAGGAGTTTCCCAAATAGATGAAGACTTAAAATCTAGTATTTAATGCTCTCAGTTCTCCTGTGTATATACTAATTTATCTTTGTGAATGCAGTGCTTTATGAAATGAAGACCACGATGCTTTCTTCATTTAATAGAGTAATTTTCACATCTTGGGGGGGGGGAAAAATCTATGAATCCCAGTATAGAGTAGATTGAAATTTTAACTATTGTTCAGGGGCCAAACTCAAATCCTTTCTCCACTGGCAGAATCTGTCTCTTTTTCAGGGTCCTAGGGACATGATGTCAACTTTTGCTGTAAACTCTTCATGTCCAGTACGCTAGCTAGATTTTCAAATATAATCATAAGTGCTAACATTTCTAAGCGAAGGTACCTGGCCATGACCTTTGGTTATCGAGCGTAGCAAGAGTAAAGCACAGTTAGTTGAAATCCATAGTCAGTGTTTCAGCTTTTCCATGCAGTGATCGGTTCATTCATACTCCTTCCCTGCACCCGCCCCCCCCCCCCCACACACACACACCTCCCTTTCCCAAGAGCACCTTCCTTTCTGTGGAACAAGGGCTAATGGGAAACTGAAGTGGAAAGCAGAAGAAGCAGCTGTGATTCGCCGGTCTGGGGACACTTGCCATTGCCGTAGCTGGGAGCCGGCTGGGCTCCTGACTTCAGCATGGTACCTTGCCCCGAGATCTAGGCTGTGTCTCCTGCTCCCACCGCAGAACTCTTAGCATCCAGGGGAGGGTAGGCGCTGGTCGGCAGGGGCAGAGGTGCTCCCCTCTTTCCAGCACATCTCTTTGGCGCTGGACACACACTGCTTACTTTTCCGTCCCTGCAGGCAGGACCCTGGTCTGTTTCCCCTTTGGAAATACCTTCTCCAGCCATATTCCTCGGCCTATAGGAGAGGGCGACTCATCCTCTCCCACTGCGTCCTGCAGAGTCTGGTTGGTTTCTTCCCGTGTGGTCTTCCGGGCGGTCGGAGGTGATGCCCATCTCAGAACCGTGCGCCCGCCAGCAACTCTGATGTAGCACAAAAAGCCATTCTCCCTTCTTCTTCGTTGTCCTGACATTGAATGCCAGGAGCGATGAGGGTTTCTGGCCCTAGGAGCGTCGGCTCCCAACACTGGTCACCATCCGCTTCCATTTCCTTGGTTTCCCCTGTACCTCAGGACTCATGGAGCACTGGGCGGAATTGTGTGCTGACCTCCCTGTGCACGCGCCCATCCCCGAACCCGGCCGTGGGGGTTCCCCTCCCAGCACCCTTAGAAAGCAGCCTCTTCCCCGGTCTGGTGTTAGAACAGAAATTCCTGCGTCGTGCTTCAGAAGTGGTGCCATCTCGTGAGTCCGTTGTCCACGTTTTTTTCTCTCCCCGCCCCCACATCCCCCCTTTATAATAGGACTTCCGAAGAGGCTCTGCTCTGTGTGCGGGCTTGCAGTGCTCCCTGGGACCCGGGGGCCGCTCTAGAACACCAAGCAGGCTGCAGAACCACCCTGACTACTTGCACTCGAGCCGCAGCCTCGCCGAGTGTGGGGGCAGCTCCAGCTCCAGGCGTCTCCCTCTCAAGGCCCCTGCGGGCACGGGTTTGACAGGGGCACCTAGGCCAGAAAGGGGGGGGCCCCCTGCACGCAGCCTCCACGGGGCACGTCCCGGTATAGGCTCTTGATCTGAGGTGTGCTTGGGCTGCACGATGCTTGCCTGGCGCTCAGCTCTTCGCCACAGTCCTGTGCAGTAGTGTGGGAGTCCTTTTGCAGTCTGGTGTGCATGCCATATGGTCGGGACAGCTTCCCACCTCCCCCGGGTTCCTGCCAGCAGGTAGGAGACATAGTGAATTTACCCAAAAATGTCCAATCTGTATTTATGTACCTTGTCAGTGTTTTGCTGTTGGTTTTCTAAAACAGTCTGATCAATAAATCTTATCCAGATCTATTTGGCTCAAGACCACCTTGATTGATCGTGTGGTGGGACTCTGTGTGTGTGTGTGTGTGTGTGTGTGTGTGTGTGTGTGTGTGTGTGTGTGTGTGAGAGAGAGAGAGAGAGAGAGACAGAGAGAAACAGACAGAGACAGAGCGCACTCACCAGGTGACTTTGGTGACTGCCCCACCTCCCTGCCCTCACCTGCCCTGCTGGGGCCACTTTGTGCTATGGACTCTGCCCAATTTTCTGTGGGCTCCAGCCATGCCCTCAGTGGAACATGACCCCCCGCCACCCCCAAAAGAACCGCAGCATGGGAGCAATGGTGACATCAGCACCCCTTTCTGCTGCCCCATCTCTCATCTCCCCAAAGCACCACTAGGCCCGAGTGTTTCCAGACTTTGCTGAAGGGGTGGAGAGGCTGCGGGAATTCAGAGGAAAGGCAGGAAGTTCACCAGAACAGCACCATGAGCCCCGGGAAGGACCCTCAGAAGAGCTTTTGGGGATGCAACCACAGTTCCTAGTTCAGGCCTTGACCATGCAGTGGCTCCCTCTGCCAGTCTCCCTCCCACACCCTCACTGCTCTGCCCAGACACCGCCCCCTCCCCAAGTCCATAGCCTGACCCCCGCCCACAGTGACACCAGCGCTTCATTCTTTTTCACTCTCACTGCCGGCCAGCCATCTGCTCCGATGCACCCTCCAAGGGATTGACCTTAGAGATAGACACCTCTACGGAGGGAAAAACACAATGCCAAGCCAGAGAAGGAGACAAAGCCTAGGGGTTACAGCACTTGCGTTGTATTTGGTGAACCTTGATATGATCCCCAGTATTGATCTGAATCTGATCCCCTCAGCTCCTCCAAGCAGAGAGCCAGGAGTAAGCCCTGAGCACCGCTGGACATGTCCCCAAAGTCCAAGAAAAGAGACACCCCAGTCATAACTTACAGTGTGTCCTGGCCCCTGACAGCTAAAACTCTACACCGCCCCACCCCCACCCTCCGGTCTCTATCCTTTGGCTTCTGCTCCCAGCTGCTGCCCAGGGCAAAGAAACAGACTCTGCGTGTATCAGATACTTGGGAGACGGCAGAGCGGCCAAAGCATGAAGTCCGCCGTTTCCCTGGCTTCGGAGATAC